ATATATGAATTTATTTAATATTTTGATATCATTGGAAAATTCAGTTACAGTTTTTGTACATCAAATGAATTATTAAACATATAAAATGGTAATTCTTTTTTCTTTTTCATGTAATAAATTTTTTTATAGATTTTTAAAAGAATACGCATTATTTCACATTGCTTCCTTTAGAAAAGTTAGGGAATCTTAAGTTTCCCAGTATTCACAGGAATGGGACTCCAGAAATTCCACCAAGTTTCCGCCACAAAGAAAGTGCTACACAAGTTCTATATATTTCCTGAGTCAAGGAAACTTCAGGAATCATAAGGTTTCACGAGCTTCCATGTAGTTTCCCATAAAAGAAAACCTTAAGATTCCATCAAGTTTCCATTCCACGGAAACCACTACGCTCATATTCCATATGGTTTCCTGAGTCGAGGAAACTTTAGGAAACGTGAGGTTTCCCGAGCTTCCATGTAGTTTCCCGTATAAGGAAACTTAAAGATTCCATCAAGTTTCCATTCCACGGAAACCACTACGCTCCGATTCCATATAGTTTCTTGAGTCAAGGAAACTTTAGGAATCGTGAGGTTTCCCGAGCTTCCATGTAGTTTCCCGTATAAGGAAACCTAAAGATTCCATCAAGTTTCCATTTCACGGAAACCCCTACGCTCCGATTCCATCAAGTTTCCTGATTCTGGAAACCAGTGGAATCTTCAGGTTTCCCATTACGGGAAACTACATGGATGTTCGGGAAACTTCAGGTTTACAGAGGTTTCCGTGGTTCGGGATACCTTATGGAATCGGAGCGTAGGGGGTTTCCGTGTCACGGAAACTTGGCGGAATAACCTAGCATCCGCACGGAAACCACTGGGAAACATGATGTAAACTTGAGGTTTCCATGTGGTTTCCATAAAGTTTCCCATGATGGGAAACCACTTTTTTCACCCTAGAAAATTGGGAGATTAGGTGCTCTTTTAGAATCTTTTTAATGTGTTTGTCTTTTTCATTCTTAGAAAAAATACACTTGAAAATGTGACATTCATCTTTTGGTATATTGTATTTGATAATATGACGCCAACTATAAAATATATGGCCACTGTAACATTACTTTTAGATCAACCCTCATATATATACAAGTTTTCTTTACGATGTACATAACCCGATTTGGTTAATTTGACGGCAAATTATAGGCCTAAAAGTATGTAGATTTAATTAATTTTAAAACATTTGTTCGAAATATGCTCAAAATAAAAAAAATATATGAAGATTATTTGCAAATCTCTACTGATCTACAAGCTAAATACCGTATAAGTAGAATTTTTAGCGAAGATTTAATTTTGGCATTATTAGCGAGGGTCCAGAGATCGCTAAAATTAAATATCGCTAAAAACTAATTGCATTTTATTTGTAATAGCTTCTTTAGTGAGCATTTAAAAATCGCTAAAATTACCTCTAGCTAAAAAAAATTACCATTTTTTAAGGAGAAATCGCTAAATTTGCGTCTCGCTAAAATTTCCACTTATACGGTACAAATATGAACAAAATAAATCAAACAAGCAAATTCATAGAATTGTGGTACCCCGCTTTCGGTGTCTTTTTGGGTGAGATGTAATTTTTTATGACATTTTGTGTCTAATATGAACACCTTATCAAAAGTCATCTATTTAGAAATTATCACTGAACTCCAAGGTCAAGGGATTAACGTTCTTGGTATCCAATGAAAAGTCTTCTCAACAGGATTACATATGTGAAGTATGAAAGCCCTAGCCCTTACCATTCAAAAGTTATGGTCAAAGTTAAAGTTTTCTAATAAGTACAAAAAAATCTCCAAGGTCAAGTTCAAAAGGTCAAGGTTGTTGGTATCAAATGAAATGAAAGGTCTTGCCACAAAGAATACATATGTGAAATATGAAAGTTCTGGTATCTACTGTTCAAGGATTGTGGTCAAGGTCAAAGTTTTTGAAAAGTAGGTCAAACTCCAAGGTCAAGGACTAAGGGGCAAAGTTCTTTGTATTCAATGAAAGGTCATCTCACAAGAATTATTTATATGAAGTATGAAAGCCCTAGCCCTTACCATTCAAAAGTTATGGTCAAGGTTTAAGTTTATTAATAAGTACAGAAATCTCCGAGGTCAAGGTCAAAAGGTCAAAGTTGTTGGTATCCAATAAAGGCCTTGCTACAAAGAATACATATACGAAATATGAAAGTCCTAGTACGTATAATTGAAAAGTTATGGACAAAGTAAAAGTTTTTAATTTTTGTGTAAAAGTGGGTCAAACTCCTAGGTCAAGGTCAAAAGGTCAAATTTGATGGTACCCAAAGAAAGGTCTTGTCACAAGGAATACACATATGAAATATGAAAGTCATAGCTCCACTGAATCAAAAGTTATGGGCAAGGTTAAAGTTTTTGTGACGGACGGACGGACAGACTGACGGACAACAGACAGACGAATGAGATTTAATGTACCCTCGCTTTCGCGAAAGCGGGGGACAAAAAAAAAATACCGCTGTATATTTATTATGTTATTTAAAACTTAACCAGAATATCTTTTTATTTAACCAGTTGGAGACTCAAAGCAGACTTATGAACAAATTCATGTCATTAAATGAATATTGAGAAAAAAACAAGCATTTTTCATCGAGCTTAAACACTTATTCAAACAATACAAATTAGGAGCAGGGCAAATACAGACTTCATGCAAATTCAGAGGTTGGATCAGGTGCATGGAGAAATGGGGTTTCCTTGCCGAGTTGACAAACCCGCCTAGTCTTCTTGTCATCATCGGAAAATAACAGGAAAATCCGTCGACAATAATATTAACTGTATGAATAATGGTCTACAAGTGAGAAAAAATAAGAATCTAGCTGATTAATAATATTCCTGTAACTTTGTTTATTATACCAATTTAAAAGTATAATCGAGGGGATTGGAGTTAATCTGAAGTAAAATTTGGAGTTAGGCCTATGGATAAATGACTACAGCATAAAAGCAGATTCCTAACTATCTAAAGAAAAATATTCATATTTTTGTCTTATCAGAAGAAAGCAGTTAAAGATTCCTGGGTATAATTTAACTAAATAAAGTATAAAAAGCTGTAAAACTCATTTCGGGTAAATATTTAATTACAGCTTGCTGAAACACGATAATGTTCTAGTCACTTAATCAAATTTTAGATTCATAAAACATCGCACTTAACTTTTGAATCTGCGAAAAAAAAAGAGAATAAGAGTATTCTTTGGAAAGACGCATATTCTAAGACCACTCACTAAGTTCAAAAAGAAGATATACAGATGTAATATGAAGATAAAGAATATAATCGTATTCATCAGTCCATTGAGGCGAGGAGTTGAGATAAAATGCAAATGAGATATAAGCATATTCTTCTGGTCGGTCAGACACAACGAGTGCTCCTTGTTCTTTCAAATGCAAAGGATATGTATTCATCAAACAACTAAAGAAAAGTATATTTTTAACTAGACTATTGAAATCATCTTGGAGAAATGCCTTTAATATATATCTTTTGCGTGAAGGGAAGAACACACTTGCTGTTGCTTTCAACTCGACATTTAGATATATCGACGACGCATTCAATTTGTCAATTAACAATGGTCATTTCCATTCTTATGCCTATACGATATATCCTGGTGAACTTGAGATAAAAGAGACCACAGAGTCTGACACATCGGTTTCGTATCTGGATATTTTACGTGAAAAAGAAATTAATGGTAATGTAACAACCAAGCTCTATGACGAACGATGACTTTCATTTTCTATCCTCAACTTCCCTTATTTATGCAGCAATAAACTTTCATCACCTGCATACGGAGTTTACATATCTCAGTTGATTTGATTCGCAAGAGCATGTTCTACGTATAATTTATATAACATGTAACAATATCTAAACAAGTTAAAGCATTGACAAACAAGTTGATGATACAGTTATTTCAGCAGTCGCGTTTAAAGTCATCATTTCAAAAGTTCTATGGCCGATATAATGACCTTGTCAGCAAATACAATTTATCATTGAGTCGAATGCTGACTAACGGTTTTCATACTTATTGTTAGTCCATATTTCATAAACTGAATTGAGGACGGATATTTCTGTTATTTCCCAATTATAAAAAGGAGCACACGGCGGATGTGACCGGTCAACAGGGGATGCTCAATCCTCCATAGCAAGTGATCCCACCTTCGATGTTTTGGAAGTCCGTGTTTGCTCTTCTCCTATTTTGTATTGTTTAATGGACTTTTGATTCTGAATACTGTTCGTTATCTCCATATGTTTCATATCGTTCAATAAATAGAAAACTAGATAAAATGATGATGATGCAATCTTGTTCAATCCTTTTTATCTGAAAGCTTTCTTTTTTTATTCCAATATTTTTTTTTTCTCTAGTGAAAAATATAAACACGAAACAGATGTCAATAAAATATATTAAACAGGTCTTAGCTCGGTATTTGCGATATATTCTGTAATATAAATCGTTTGAATGAAAAAAATGTTCATCTGACGAAAATGTAACATAAGACACGAGTCAATTAAGGTTGATCAAACAAATTTCAAATATTTGAAAGCTTTTCTACTTTTCGAAGAACTGATGAATCAAATGTCGTGCAAAATCATGCCTAATCTATATATTTCAATAGTTTGAATATTTTCAGCATGCTTGTATTTTACGTTTGTTAAAAAATAATAGAAATAAACAAGGAAAAAATCTCGTAAATTGAAAGAAAATGAAAAGTCTTTTTACAAGAGAAATTCGCTGATGTCATGATATCCATTGTGGATGAGCATTCGGCAGAAAACTGGTTTGGCACGGCTGGTTTCTTAAAACTTTGAAAATGATGCACTGCTGTTATTTTATATATGTATTTATATTTTGCAATTGAATATATAAAGGGTTCCAATTTCAAAGAGAATGTGTGTAATAAAAAACTATATCTTTAAATGTAATTTATTTAATCAAAACATCAAAAATATTTTACATAGGGTATATGTATCACAGATTTCGTTTGTTCAACAGATTGAATGTTTGAAAAATGAACTTCGATTTGAAACATGACATTTTTATAGTTCATATGAAATGGTTATACAGAACCTAACTATTTAAAATGGAGAAACACAAGAAGTCTAACATGAACTGTATATTGCCAGCATATATCTTTCATACAATCTCTAACATTACACTATTTCCAAGATTTGTCTCAAAACAAATAATATTTTTTTACCAACTAAAAAAGTCCTAGAAAGGCAGAAGTGAAATAAAGAGGTAATTCACAATTAGGTCTTATGTTAAAGGCTGACAAATTTCCTTAGGAAGGTGGTCAGGGCAATTCATAATCTTTGTTGTAGCAGGGACTTCTGTTGTCATTGATTCACTAGTTGTTGAAGTACTGGTATCGGTTATCGCGCTTTCATTTCTTGGAATCTTCGTTGAAAGATTTAAACCCAGGGTTTGAGATAGAATTGTAGTTCCTTTTGTTCTTTCAGTGGTTTCATCTGAAGTCGATTCATCGACTTCAGTTGTCGTCTCAGTATAATCAGCAGTCGATGACGTCGCATGAGAAGATGTCTCTGATTCGGTCTCTATCTTAGGTGATGTGGCGGGAAAAGATGATGTCACTACAGACGTTGTGGTTATTGTTTTTGTTATCGTTGTCGTTGTCTTGGTAACAGGTGAAACAATCATATCTTGTTCACTTAATCTTAAGGATTTCGTGATTTCGCCAGAATCAGAGGACACAGTGTTCTGAAGAAAGAAAAAAAATATAGAATGAATATTATTTTAAACATTCTTAAGTTTTTGGAATTTAATACATAAAAAAAAACCCAAATCTGTTGTAAAAAATAGGCTAATATTAGTGTAGATTTTTACCTGTATGAAGTATGAGCATTTGACTCCTTCTTTTCCGCATGTTTCTTTGGAAGCAAGTTTGTAGATTGTACATGTCTTAGAGAAAGCAATATCACAAATAATGAATGTTAGACATCCGGCCTTTGATCCACATTTCAGTCCGCATTCACCAGAAGTAATTACACGTGATGGACCTGAAGTAATATCTGTGAGATAGCACAACTTTGAGATAGGTAATGTAGAAATATGTCCTACCCAGAAAAGTAATATATCAATTATAATGGCAGATATACTATTAATCTTCATTTTCTGGATGGCTTTCTGCCCAAAGTCTTTAAATGACAGCAATGTAGTTTATATGCAGCACAGCTATGTCGAAGATCTTCTTTTTCTTCGTTGGTCCTCCTGTTTTCTTTCTCTGCTCTCTAACGTTTTCTCCTCCAGAGGTACTCGATCTCCTTAAGATTGTGAGTACAACTTTTTACCGTTTAGTTTTTTGCTTAAGGTCCCGTTCTGTTTCCAATGTGTCTTATCCTTGCTCAGCTACTTAGAATGAAAGTCAGAAATTGTCACCAACTCTAATTTCTTAAGAAAATATGATAAGACGTTCAGCTCTCAATGTGGTATACTCAAAACAAAACAAGTTCTCCCCTTTTAATCGGTGTACGAAATCCTCGTGGTTCACTGATCGACCGACTCTGGAGGCCGATATTTATAGCAATGAAAAAGCGTGGAAACTAATGAAGGTTTGCCGTGGGCAATCGCCGACAAACGAGAAACCAACTATTAAATAATATCAGACAACCATTTTAATCTCATCCTAGATGCAAATTTCTTTCCATCGGATTTTATCAGCTATTTTTAAATTTGTACTTATCAATGTAGCGGGCCGTTTTTCTTAAAGGTTAGATCCTTGTATTGTGGGTCAGATAAATCGACATCTATCACAGAGGTCATTTTGGTTTGGATATAATAATATAGCTTGATTGGTTATTTGTACCAATTCATACTCTTTCATATTTGAAGAAAAAGGGAATAATGAGATCAATTGCATCTGAAAAACATACTGTTGAACATATATGTACAGACCCACTTCTGTGACAATCTTATTCCAATTATGTTATAGAAACTGAAACTTAAGTCTTTTAATTAATAGGTGCAAACAAACGATTTTGTATAATTATGCTTTTATATACTTATTTTGAAATAAAAAAATATATGAACTAATATATGATGTAAATTCCAATGGAATTTAGGTTTTTTGGTGCCACTTTTTTCGTTGCTTTCTTATACATTTTTAACATACACCTTTAATAAAATTACAATTTATCAAGATTTGGGAGATCAAAAACAAGATGAATGTACTCATTGAAAAAAAAAATGGATCTTCAAATGTGTTTGTAATTGCATCTATTTATTTGCATATTGTTACAAATAATAATCCACTTAAGATATGATATCAGTTTGGGCTTCATATCGCATACTGTATTGAAATATCACTTTTTTCAACTATCTACAATTTTCGAAGTACTGACAAATTCTGAAAAAACTGTTCAACGTTCAAAGGCAAGATAGAATGACCTTGATATTTATTGACATTAACCGTATTATACTTTGAGTCAATGAATTTTACCAAGCCAAATTATCCTAGAGTATCAGGACTAATCTATCAACCCCTAATTTCTGTCATCTGCCTTGAATTGATTGTTATGGTATAATGAGGAAGCCATTTATCATACGCGAAGATGAATGACGTCACAATGATGATGATTGGATTCATCGATGCGCCCTGTGTTTGAACGAGTTTTGATTTATTGGTTAATGAAATATGATTTGAAGTGCAGATATGGCCCATAATTTTCACTCATTAACATCTTGGAAATTTTGGTATTAAAAAATAGCACTTAAATTGACGAAACAAAGAATGCACGAGGTTATTGCTTGATTTTCATTACTTATTTGATATCTTATTTTATTAATTCAATAATAAATGCAAGACCCACTCAATATTTCATACCCATTTGCATTACTGCTGGAAATAACCTGGGATCTTTCCTGAACCAAGGATGTTTCTTCTTCATCCAGAGTTGCAACACGATATGATTAAGCATTTCTAATAGAAAAAGATGATTTTTCCCCCATAAATTCGATTATTTTTAGTTTTGACCTTGACGGTTTTTAATTTTAAAAACCATTTGCATAGAGGCAAAGATTACTCCTCTAGAAACGTAAAATCTAAAAGTCCTTCATCAATTTGATTTATATCATTATGTTAATACTTTGTACATGTGTATAGTACCTATACACCGGAAATACATAGGGGGTGCTATGAAATTACATAAGGTAATATACGAGCAGTCTTTATAGATAGTGAGTAAACAGAGAAGATAAAAAAAGAAGCGCACAGAATTGTCTATGTCTCCTTAACCTTCTAGATGTTACTTGATTTACTATCGTAAAACTTTGAATTGCCGTAGTAGTGATAACTTTGGAAACTTTGATTCTATAGTGATAACTATGATACTAAAGTGATCACTTTGAAAACTTTAAATAACTATAGTGATAACTTTGACACTTTGATTGACTAAAGTGATAATAATGAAAACTTTGATTTACTATAGTGATCACTTTGATACGATAGTGATTACTTTGAAAACTTTGATTTACTATAGTGATTACTTTGAAAACTTTGATTTACAATAGTGATTGCTTTGAAAACTTTGATTTACTATAGTGATAACCTTGACACTTTGATTTACTAAGCTAAATGGTTAGTATTTTTAGTGGAGTGACGAACCTAGAAAAGGATGCTTAGTTTTCGAGTTTAATGTACCGGCATACCCTACGACTGAAAGTTATATTTCATAAAAGAGACACCCCTCCTCATAAATTTTCGCCCGGTCGTAGAGTTTTCTCATGTCAATTTTTTTTCAACTTGCAATGAAAGTGAAAAAAAGGGGGGTATTTAAGTCGTTTATTTTACTCGCTGATATTATTCTTTTTCAAAGCTAAATCATTGAATGAAAAATACTAATTTGTGTGTAATAGGATAGTTGCAGGTATCTAGATTTACAATGCAAAATTAAGCTGTAATATTATTTGCCCCCCCCCCACTCCTTTTAATAATCTTATGTTTTGTTATAGAAACTGTGTTACTTTCAACAATAAAACTCAGCACAATTATTTCATGCACAATGATTTGTGATCACATAAACCCAACGTTTTTTAAGGATATCTTCACTCCATAAGTCTTGTATTCTACTTGATCGAAAATGTTTTGTGTAACGGAAATGAATATATTGGAATTGGAAATGGAATCCCATCATGCCTCTGATAGTGTTAAGTATATTTAATTAGCTCCTACTTTTGATAAATTAAGGCTAATATACAATTGGAATTTAAATTAATGAGCATTTGAAAGTTTTGTTGTTGTTTTTTTTATTTCAATTTAAAAAAATACGTAAAGGACAAGCATGTCACTTTTCTTTTACATTCCTTTTTGAACAAGATATCTTGCATGATTGGATATTGTCTTTCTGCATCATAAGCAACACAGATTAACGCAGCCAGAACTAATTTGTATCAAACACAAAGAGAAGAACGATTTTAGTATTTCATAAGAATGACTTTCCTTCACTTTACAGAAATTATTTCATGTTTCCTTCGGAAATATACCGGGTATTCAGTGTTTTCTATAGCAAACACATGGACTTGTTATTATTAAAACTAAGGGATACACAATTTGTTGACGCGTTACATTATTTACATAATGCCAACTTTTCAGGACAGCTGATAAATGTCAGGCTTCTATAAAAGAATATCTTCCGTATAGTTTGCAAATGAAACATACAGTTGTTTGACCAGTTCCGGATAAGAAACGGATTCGGCGGTGCTATAAAAATACGAGGCATTATTTCAAAATCAGAGTTTTTTGTCAAGGTAATTTAATGACTTGTGGAATGTAATATTGTTTCAAAGAAGTTCGGTCCCCCCCCCAAAAAAACACATTTATTTACCAAGTTAACTTAGACACTCATTTTACAAGTTACGAGTAAGCCGACGAGTTCCGAATACCCTAGCAGTTTCCATTAAATTCCTAATTGCTTTCCAGTAAGTTATTTTTATTTCCAAAGGATAAAAAGACACTAGAGGTACTGTGAGCACTGAGCTCACTAAATGATACCCTGCCCTCGCCTCCCATTTGATATAATAACATAGTCCAAGTTACGGTTTTCTAGGAGACCCGACATAAGTGTCAAATAAAAAAAAATGAAATAGGAGATACACAATGGCATTATGTAAAAATGAATCTGTGAGAGCATCTTTAAATTTTATTCAGTGGAATGAGAGGAGTTGCAAATAAGAAATGGGTATACTTCAGTACTATAGAAAAAAATGGCAGTGTCCATGTTCTGCTATGGGAAACCCAAAAATGGTCCGGTCAAAAAGTAAAGTAGAAGGTGCACAATGGCACTTTGTAACAAAGAATCTTTGAATTTCTTATTTAATTTCATTCAGTGGTATAAGAGGAGTTGCGGATAAGAATGGGTACCACAAAGCCTAACAGATAGACGGATAACAGATACGGACTGACGTACAGACGGATGGATGGACAAACAGCACATCACTATATACTTCTCCCCCTGCTTTTCAAGCAGGGAGTATAATAAATCACGTTTACAATGAAGAAAACAACGAAGAATGAATATATAATAGTGTTTATTAGGGATGTCAACGAATATTCGAATATTCGAATATTCATTCGATGAGTTGATGTTCGAATATAAATTTATGATTCGAATATTCGGATTTTAAGTATACAAGCATCAAAAAGAAAACAAATCTGACAAAAACTGAATTTTTATCAGAAATTGAATCAAATTCTTATCGTTGACCAAGAATAAGATTTTAATTAAAACAAAATTAAAAGACACTCCTCTTGGATTACCTGAAAGGCGTGAAGAGTGTATCTACTAAAATAATAAAAAAATATTTATTTGATCATTTAATTAGAGGTATAACAGTGTCCAGTACTTAGAATTAGTTTGTATTGTTGAGGGGACACATTTTTTAAGTAACACACATGGATCCATTGTTTATGTATACATCATTTAAAATCATTATCAGGAAATTAATTAGCTTAGAGTAATTGCTTTTAATGTTTCTCCATTTGATAATTATTCAGTGTGGTATAAATCTGTAGGGTTATCAGTGTACACTTTGGTAAGATGATTAATTAATCTGGAACTTATTAAAAGAATCTTTTGAATTTTCGGGGGTAATTTTTTTTATGATATTTTGGATGTAAACTCTTCATATATTCTGTAAAGTATTTTATTAAGAACATACATGTAATTATAGTGCATTTACAAAACTGCATGAAATTTTATTCCAAAATAATGACATAAAACGTATATTGCTTGACAAAAGAGTGAAGATGTATACATATTATAATGTAAGATGTATTTATTTTATCGAATATTCGAATATATTCGAATAGTACTATCGAATATTCGAATATCAATTGTTGACAATTTTGACATCCCTATTTATAATGGGTATTCGGAACTAGTAAAATGACAATGCAGAAAGATAATACCGATATCTTCCAGTGTTCTAATTATTCATTTTAGACTATCTTTTAGTGTTTGTTAGAATACATATCAAACTTACTTTTGACACCTGGAATGTTGTTTTATGTGAAAAATTGACGTCTCTACAGA